AAATACTATGTTTAAGATCGTCCCTGTTTCTGTAATTAATTGTGTTACTTTCTTTAGAGAACTTTGCTGGTTGGTCTACTAAGGTTCAATTTCTCCTCAACAGACCAGTGATTTTTCCCAAGAATGGCCCGTATTACAGAGATCTAGATTGCCCAGCATGATGGTTAGATGTTGCATATGCTCTTGACAACTGATCAGGTCAATGTTACTTTTTTCCCCCTTGTACACAGTGTCCATAATGTACTGTGTGGTTATCACAGTGATGGTGTTAACCAGGCCACAGGGCCTGGTGAGACACATTTTTTTCTCTGCTACAGGGATAAACCTGTCAAGCAGATGATGCAGCATAGGCAGACCAGTCTCCCCAGGCCCAGAAGACAAACATAGCCAAGTTCTAACAATCCAGCCACTCATTTCATGTGGCTACTATCAACCTGCTCACACGTTATCATTTCTGTCTCAGGACTTTCATTACAACTTCACTTCAGGTTGAAGTTTGCAGTCTGTCTTATACTGAATGCCTTTCAGGCAAGCTCTTCCCTAATGACATAAGGAAAAACGGAATAATCAGATGGACAAGCTGCCTCCAGATCCAACTTCTAAGAAGTTGGCCTGAAGACTGAAAGGCGATTGATAGAAGTTAAACTCTAATGACCTTTTTAATTCCAAAGGGCCTGGGTATCCTTCTCATCTTCTTGATGCCTTCCTTCCAGTACTATATCGGTACTCATCTTATTAAGTCTGCAGTGCTGTCCACTAAACACAAAAAAGTAGACATAAACATTTTTTAGTTGCATTATGCACAGAGGCTCATAGGGTAGGTGGTTCAATATTTGATCAAATGAAGTAAATTTTAAAATATATCTGCTTCATCAAAATGGTTTATTTTATAAGAAATAAGACAAAAAGAAAAAGCTAAAAAAAATACACACACACACACATAAGGAGATTATAGGAACAGTCTCTAAACCTGATGATCAGTTCAAAAGTTCACGAGCGCCTTAGGTTGTAACATAATTGGTAAGTGTTCCCCTCTCAGATCTCTGATAGCCTCTGTCAGTGTCATAAAACATTCAGTATCACATGAGCCCTCTTGTTAATCTTCAAAGCTGTGAACGCCTTTACATCAACTTCCACTATAAAATAATGACCTTTGGTATCCTTTATTTCTTTATCAATAAATACATGGTAGAGATTTCTGGCCACAGAACTCATAGACTTTTTTGGTTAATACGGGCTCTTATGTTTACCAACTACTGCCTTGTTGATTTCTTTAACAGCATTATTTTTTTTACA